GATGGAGGCACATGATGTGCAATGGCATGTTTTCACACGTGAGCTTTGCAGAGCTGTAGCAAACAAATCAGTTTGCTATTATGCCCACTACTGTCAAAAATGTGGTACTTAACGCTTTGACGTATCAGATTTTAAACTCTTTTAAATTTGAAAGGCCAGTAGTTCTGTCCTTTTCCTCTGACAGATTTTTCAATTTTTCCTGTTTGCATCTTTGCCCCTAGTTCTTCTGTTTCATTTCTCTCTCTCCCCACCCCCTCCCCTTTTGCCTCTCTCCCCTCCCTCCACCATCTTCTTTCTTTACAGCTGCCCCAGTGCTTTCCTTCATCCTTTCCTTCCTTTGCTGTCAGGTGTTCTGCTTCTCTCCACATACTTTTACTCCCTTGAAGTTTTACAAGGGACTGGGATAGCTTTGCAGCTCCTCCTTGTACTGACTAAGCACTTGAACAGTCATCACTTTCTCATAAGCAGTGATTTCCCAAAGCATGTCAGGTATTTAAGATTTAGGAAAAAGGAACAACCTGGCATAGGCCCAAAGTCTCATTTGACTTCAAAAGCTGTGCCTGACCAAAACCTCCAGAAAGCATCAGAAAAATCACAGAAGTGGCGATTTCATTTTGGGAGAATTATTTAGAAGGTCTGTTCTTCTCATCTGCTGGGATTCCCTTCAACAGTATTGAATTTGGATGCTGACACTAATGGAGAATTTACAGAGCTACTGGAGTTATATGTTTCTTTTAGTAGCATTTAATGGTATTACTATCTAATAACTATTAGATACTCTCCTCCATGGCAATTAGGTGAGTGAGATGCCTTCTGAGTTATCAGTTTTGCCAGTCTTCTAGGAAGCATCTGCTTTTCATCTTTGTAGCCCTTATTGAATGGGGCCATTGTTTCAGAAAAAGGAAGAAATTTTTAAATGAGGTGAAGAGTATTAACATATATGCTTACAACTGAAAGGTGTATTTTGAACTGCTATACCAACCGGCTTGAATGATAATTTGGAAAAGTAATACATCCGTATAAATGTATGGATCCCTGCCAATAATGGCCTCCAAAGGTTTCAATGCAGTGCTTATACAGATGAGACCTCCTTTCTGCTATTGAGTCAAAAACGTGTCTGAACTTGCTTGTTTATCCCCTCTGTCATGCATGCCCTCTGATGCTGCAGTGTTTCTCCAGCTCCTCAGCACTGATCCTCAGTTACCCTTCTGTCCACGTCTAGCAGTTGTTACTCCTGCCTGCCACCACACCTGATTTCCCCCTCCCCCCCGCCCCGAGTCAGCCCAAATGACCCAGCACGGTCATTTCTCCTAAGTAGGAGGAAACAGCTTTCAAGAAAGGCCTCTGCTGTCCCTCCCTGTCTAATGACCTCCTCCTTCCCTCTAAAGCCTGCCTCCTGGGAACCATCCGCACTCTGCTCCCTCATCTTGTCCTCCTGCTCCCTGCTCAAAGATGTCCCCACCTCACACCCTGCTGCTCGTCACCAGCCCTAGGGCTACCTGGCCGTGACCAGCCTGCCCTGCGCCCCTGGGAAGGGTGGGAGCAGCTCTGGGGAGGCTGCCAGGAGGTGTGTGGTTCGATGTCCGGGGGCAGAAGCATTTGAGAAAGAGGAGACGCCCTTCGTGTGGCCTCTGCCTGCACTGTGGCCCATGGCTCCCCTCGCCTCATGTTCCCTTGCCTGCTGGCACAAGGTAAATCTCGGGCTTTCTCAAAACGTCAGGAAACAACAGAGGTTGTTTGGGGTGGGGGAAATGGGACAAGAGTGGAAGAAGAGCACAGACAGCAAGAGTCTTGATGCAGCTTTTTGGACTTCTCTCCCGCACATACTTGGCTGCTCTCCTGCCCTCTCCTGATTTGAGAATTTCTGCTTTATAGAGTTAATTCTCAGGCTCTCTTCCTGAGCTTTTAATGGTGGTTGAAGGGTAGAGGAATGGAGGAGAAGCTACATTAAGTCACTCGGGAAGTCAGTGGGATGGGAGTAGAAACAACATCTTCTTACAGTCATGTGAGGGCCTGTTGCTCATCTTCACATTTGGCTTCAGAATGCCTTTGTTCTTCCAGCCGCTGCAATCAGTAGGTGAAATTTTAAACGAGGATAAACGCAGTCTCCGTTTCTGCTTTGAGGACAGAGCCTTGTCTTCCCTGCTAGACTGAATTTTTTGTGTCATGCGTTACTGGGGCGTCTGACGGTACGAGACAACCCCTTGGTCCTGGGCTGCTGGGAGATACCTGGGCTGCTTTTATACAAACTTACTGAAGCGCTAGAAGCGATGCGGCCGAACATGCATGAAGCGCTGCTCGGGCTCCTTTGTCTTGCGAAGCTGTGCAGGAGAGTTTTAGGAATCTCTGCATGGTGTTCACTCCGCTGTGCAGCACGGACATGACTGGCCCCCTTCCTGCCGCGGGCTGAGCCAGGCAATGAATCAGTGTTTTTATTTCTGAGGAGTCTACTGAGACCATGCTGAAGGCCACTGCCACCTTCTTACGTAGTTTGGTCTTTGCTTAGGAAGACCGGGATTATTCTCCGTACTTGGCTTTCTCACACCTTTAAAAATGGTGCTGATACATACACTTTAAAAAATAGGTGGGAGGGGGAAAAGGTATTAAATGTAATTAATTTAGAACATCTTGATAACTGAACAAACCATGTTCATTCTTACAAAGACGGGAAAAAGTAGGTCTAACTTAAGCAGGTAGGTCCTTTGTGACAACGTACTTCACTAATCACTGCTTATGTACAGTCTAGCATTGAAAAAAAGCTAAAACTCAGAAGTGCTTTTTCCTTCTGTTTTATGTGGGTTTTTTTCAATTTGAAAGGGATTTACATTTATTTAAAGACATTTTTCTAAATTTTGCTTTGAATACAAATCATGTCAAACAGCTTTGCCAAAATAAACTTGGCAGCTTACGTTTTCTTTCCTTTTTTTTTTGAGTGTTGGCATGTAATGAATATTAATGGAGCATCACTTCCTGGTTTTTGGCATGATACTTTCTTCATGTAAATACTGCTTTTTGAAATACCAAGAGCCAGTGTGCAGTTCAAAGTGTTCAATTCAATTTAGATGAATTGATAAAGAATGTCCATTTTCTGTTCTGTGGGAGCTTGAATGTGTTTGTTTCCTGATCAAAATTTTCCTTACTCTTTTTAGAAAGGTGAGAAAATATAATTCCATGAGTTTGACTCCCTTCTTAGCTACTTAGTACATCTTGTTCCTCTGTGTCTGCATTTAAACTCCTGAAGTCAAACTCCTTTTCGAGGATTTCACAGCAGCAAGCACATTGTCGGCAATCAAATAATAATAGGGAGAAGTGAATCAGTCTGGATAAAGTGGAACTGACCTGAATTTGATCCTTAAACTCAAACTAACCACAACTATTATGGGGTTTTAAAATTTTTTGGTTTTAGACATTATTATCACACACCTCTGCACCATCTGGCTTTTTCTAGGAGTAGAAATAGACTTATCAACATACTGTAACAGAGTCTGGTTTTGTGGTGTGTCTGGCGGAGTTGTTACCCGAAAACTCTGGAAATCTCACCAGAAGGGCGGCTTTTATGCAATTTCCAGACCAGTTTTCACACCGAAGAGGATTAGGTGGTAAGCAGAGTGGAGAAAGAGTCTGTGCTTGTGGTTGCATCTCGGTTTTACCCATCACTAATTTGTGCTAGGCTAAATGATGCTTTTAATTATGACCTCTCTCACAAAAATGACAGGAAAGTCTCCCATTTGTCTCATCGTGACTTGAACTTTTCATCATGGAAATCTGCTGGCTGTAATGAGGTGACACATGAGTTTCTTGGAGCTGAATTTAGTTCTCTCTGTATGTGCATGCTTATTTTATGGTAGTGTTGTCCATCACGTGGACCCTGAGGTCTAGACGGAGGAACCCATTCCATCTGGCCTGTGCCTTTGTCCCACAGGAGAAAAAGACTGCAGTTACGGGCTGAATATGCTGATTTAACTTTTCCTGCAGACAGACAGGCATTTACTGTGCAGCTGCTGATGACATGCGTGGATGTGAAGGTAGATGAAAACAGGGGCTTCAGGGAACGGCGTTTGCAACGGTGAGGATGGCAGAAAGAGCCTGCCTGGGAGCTCTCATCAGAGATGCTGCTGAATTTGTCTGGGGAGGAAGGACACCGAGGAGCAGCTATAGCGATGCCTGTGAATAAGGAGTACCATTGATACCTGCTATGATTACCACAGGTTTAAGTGTCCTTGTGCAGTCCTACTGACATAAGAGAATCAAAATGTAAACTGAGAGTGGAATTTGATCCCATCTGTTAGATAGTTAGGCTGATAGCTTTGCACTTCAGTCTCTTGGGCTGATACATTTGAAGTATGTTAGACAGCAGATACAGTTTAGAAACTGCATCCCCATATAATAATCCTCTCAATTTTATTACTTGGGGGAAGGGAGATTGTTACTGACAGACTTTCAGGTTGCTGTGTTAGGCTGTTTTTCATAAAGCTGTTAAAAAAAACGATGACAGGCTCATTCTGCCTTCAGCGCAACAGGACAACACTCCTATTGATTGCAATGGGAAGAGGCTCTGGGCCAGTGTTTTGCACACACCGAGCCGTTTCACTTTCTACCAGCCTAGTAGAAAGGTCTGCTTTTTCCACAAATGTGCACAGTATATGTGTTTGCTGCAAAACATTTACATATTAAACGGTGACCAAGTAAGTTTTGTCCTGTAATAAACTGCTGAGTGCTATGACAGGAATAAATACAGGGCTTAGCAGAAGCACAGCACGTACACGTAAGTATACATGCTGGATTAGAGCCTGCAGACCGGTCCTTGCATGGGGAGTGAGAGCATTCCTGTTTGCAGGGCCCGTCCTTAGCACTTCATGTACTGTGTAGCAGCAGGATTACTACAGCCAATGCTAGACTTAGTGCGATCTAACACCAGTTTGGCAGAAGGCAAAATGAAAGAAAATTTAACCATACACTGAATACGGTATTCCTCTAGATAAAGTTGGGAGAGACCTCAGGGAAGAAGCTGAGAATACTCTAAATGCATTCAGCTGACTTCTCTGTCTATGAGGATGTGTGTTGCTTGGTTTTTAAAGGTGCTGAACACTGGCAAATCAACATTAGTTAGTGTGGAATTAGTGATTTTGCTGCACTTTCTGCAGAGTACTGAAAGTCTGAGTGCACTGGGAGTATGACTTTCCATATTCCAGCTCTGAGATACAAGAACAGGTTGTTGCAGCAAAGCTGTAACTACCATTGTGTAATCTGTCTTAGGTCTGTGGCTAAACAAGACTTCAGGGTCCAGAGGTAGTATTTTAGCATGCATTTAAAGGTATAAATTCACCTAGTACTGTGAGGGAAGTGGATATTATCAAAGTCAGACCGGTGAGTGCTCCTGTCACTGAATAAAACCAAAAGCAATGGAAAATCAAAACAAAACAAAATAGTGTTATTAGGCTGCTGGTTTTCCCTTGGGTGCAGGCTAGCATCTGAGTTCTCTTTGACTGATTTTAAATAAATACATGTAGATCAAGAGAAGCTATTATAAGATAAGAGATTAGGAGAAAAACTGATTCTGTGTTTAAATGCAAGAGTTTCTGTTTGTCTATATGAATATCGTTTCTGAATGGATCACCTGTTGTCTTTCCCCCACCCCTAAATGCAAAACCGGAAGAGGGCATGTAGAACTTTCAAAACAATTTGTTAGTCATTTGGCCCACTTCAGCTACAATTGCTGTGAAGTATGCAAGACAATAGTACTAAATTCATACGGTCAGAAACAAGAAATACAGCATCTCTTGACTACCTGCTTTAAATTTGTGGCTCAGGAGTGAGTTCCTGTGACAGAAACTGTGGTGACTGGCTGGCTACAGTCCACCACAAATGTATAAACAGCCAACAATTTGATTACGTGGAAGTCTTAATCTCAGGTCATTGTACAAATGACTGCACATTGTGTAAACCTCTAGAAATGATAGCTGCACTGAACGTTTCATACCTAACAGCAACAAATGTGCAGGTATAGCACAGGAGGCAATGATATTTACAGGACTGGTGACACATGTAAAAAGCAATGCTACTGTGCGGTAAGCTTCCTACACTGTGTTGGTCTTCTCTCCAGTATTGTGCTTAAAAATTATTTTCTTGCTTACAGCTTCTTATACTTAAACCAGGTACAAAATTTTCAGGCAGCCATCAGTTAAACAAATAAACAGCAAAGAAGGAGTGGCTATGATAGACACAGTTCTCGTGTCTAAACTCTTGGGAAGGAAAGACAGTGGGAACATCGCTGTCATCCCAGCAAGCACGGTACTCAGCTGGACTCTACAGGTTTTGAAGTACTTCTGCATCCCTCAGTTTGAGGTTATCCATTCTCACTTCAAGTAGAAATAATTTTAAAACGTCAGCATCTCAAAACAGGGTTTGAGGCATACATTGCAAGCCACTGGACTTCTTTACTTTTAGGTTTTGTATTAACATTAATTGTTTGTAAATGTAACACATGCATTCAGCATGGAGGTGTACAGCCAGCATAAAATCTATTCTAGCTTCACTGTCAGCGACTTAGATTATGTTGTCTCAGGTCACACTGAGGACTATCTCCTTAAACCACAGCCACTTGGGTTCTGATTAGTTTTCTTTATTTTCTGCCCATGTATGAAGAAATGTTACACATAATGTTATAAAAATAAGTAATAAAGAATAAGAAAGTTACTTGGCATCAAGATCCACAGAACCTGTGCATGTACTGGAGGTCCTGTACACTTTCCAAACTGAGTCCCAAATTGAAACGAGCACTAAAAATTGGGAAGTGTCAAGAAATATATAATGAGGATCACTGTCAATGATCTAGAATGGTTTTGTTAGATAAAGCCTTTATACCCAAATGTCTCACATACAATCTTTTTACACCCATTTAGTACAACTGATTTTAGTATCATAATGTTTTTAATTAAAAATAGTTAAAAATAGGCATTGTTCACTTTTACATGTGACAATATGTAAAAGGGAGAAGTTTCTTTTCCAAGTTGATTGGAGTTTCTTTTCCTGTAAATCCTTGGGAATTAAATGAAAGTAGTAACTTAAGTCCCGTTGCTGCATATTTATTGCAGAGATACTGTTTCTCCTGTTTGGAAATGTGGCTAGATCTGGTGCCTTCTATCCAAGAAGAGTCTTAGTCTGGGATATATTTTATCTTGTTTGTCCCCACACTGGTTCTGAAATCTAGAAATTCAGTTTTAGCACAGCATATGCATTGGGAAATCCAGACTCAGCTATTGCATATCCGTGCCCACTCTGAGACAGACGGAAACCACTGTGACAAGGTTGTTACCTTAATTGTGATGCACAGTGGTGAAGGTAATTTCAGAGGATGAGTTTGTGTTACCTCCCGTATGCTTTCAACAGAGACTTGCTGACTAAAGCACATCCTAAGTATTGCATCAGCCAGAGCCATAAGTGATACAGCATTTATCTTCTATTCTGTGAAAATGAATTTTGTTGCTGTGAGGACTGTTTAGACTTGTAGACCTGCTGGCACACATATTTCTCACTCTCTTTCCTTCTAGCACTGTGTAGATTTCACTTTCTCATAAGAATGAGTAAGATACTTACCACACATACATGCATTAAGTGCAATGCCTTTTGTTAGTAACCCTAGTGTAGCACCCTTCCTCAGTCTAATGCTCACATTGTATCCCTAACTGTGAATGAGAAGAAGTCTCTTCAAATTTAGTCAAGACTGGGTTTATTAAAAAAAAAAAAAAAAAAAAAAGTGAAGAAGTGATTCCAACAGTCATTAACAACTCACTTTTTGATGAAAGAATAATTCCATTGCTAAAAACAGCAATTCTCTGGAGAAGAGGGTTACATCTGTGAGGGAGCTAGTGCCCAGCCATGAGGGAAATGAAAATACTCAACTCACATAAAATTTCAAGGGTTCTAATAATGCCTCCATGGAAAGCACATCTCAAGGTTTTACAAGAGAGGACTTCCCCATCACTGTTTTTACAATTTTCATTCTGCCATTGATTCCCCATTGGTGATGGTGAGTAATATTGACACTTTGATTTATACCGTTTCCTCAAAATATCAACTTTTTGTGCTTGGAGAATGAAGTCTGGGGGTCTGGTGACTTTAACTGTGGCTGTTTTGAGCTGTGAAGCTATTCCACAGTAAGGGAAACTTGTAAATGTTTCATATTGTTCTCCAACCAACATGCCAAACAAGAGCTGGTAACAGAGACAAGCAGATTTTGTTTCTACCAAGCTGGGTGTTGCAAACTGGTGAATATGCAGCATTTGATTCAAAGAGGTGCTAGGTAGGTGTAAACTATATTGACAAATCAGTTTTAAAATTAATTGCTAAATATATGGCTTGCTCTTCTGGCAATTTTCAAGATGAGCCTGTTTACAGGAACTTCAGAAACTGGAATGCTGGTATGATTTTTTGTGTGTTGTGCTTAGAGGATGCAATTATTTATTTATTGAATTGTGTGAGAATTATTTTTTCTATCTTTAAAGAACATAGTATGGCTATGAGTATATCTAAACAGTGAGCATGCAAGTATTTGCAGAGTCAAGTGGTGTGGTGGATAGGCATTGAAAAAACCACAGTGTAGACCATAAAAGACTTGGAAATACGTTTTGTTTTTTTTTTTTTGCAGGCCCTTATTTGTCTTGTACTTAGTTCTTTTTTTAGTTAACATATAGCTCTGTCTTGTCATGATTATATTAAAGATAAATATTGTCCCTATGTGTGACAATGGCAGTAGATCTTACTTTGATTTCACACCCCCCCTTGGATTAAATTAAATCTGGCTTTGTGTACACTTCAAACATGTTCTGCCAGACACAGCATGTCCTATCTTAGCTGAGTTGGACATTGTATGTTGTAAATCTATGCAATTGAAACAGTGCTTTTAAATATGTGTTATAATGATTTAATGAGACGTAAATTTGAAGATCAAAACTATTTAAATTTGAAGGTTGTGCAGAGGAAGAGGCCTGGGAGAACAAAAATCTTTTTCTGAGCTAATACATGACATTGTAGGATGGAAACTCCAGCTTTGTACCAGTAGGGGCAGGTTTATACTGTACATTGGGAAAAAAACAAACCACTTGAATAAAAAGAACAAGCTGATAAAGCTTGTGCTGCAGTTTATAAAAGCAAATAAATATATGTATATTGTATTATGTATATTTGTGTTCTTGAGTATAGCTAAAGGACAACTTCCCATGAAATAATGCATTCCTTTAGAATTGTTGTAGATTTTCATAATTTTTTTAAACATTCCTATTGTAACCTACATCAAAAGGGCAGCTATGGTTCTTGTGTCTGACTATACATATGCATTATAAAAAAGTGAGTCTACTGTAATTACCAGTTTGCAGAGCGAATTCCTGCAGGATTTGTACTCTCCCCATTAGTAAAAGAGATAAGTTGAAATGTATTAAAATTTCACTGTACAACTGGGAGTTTTTGTTCACAGTAAATGTGGTAATGTTTCTTCATTGCTTGACTGTTTGTGTTTAAATTTAGGCAGTGTGCCCAACAGGGACAAAATTATAGGATAAAGCTATGTATAAAAGAAAATCCTTCTGAGAAAACCAATAACATTTTTTTTCCCCATTTTTTTCTCTTTTCTTTCTTTCTTTCTCTCTCTCTCTCTTAATAAGTGTTTATATATATAATCATACTCCATTCTGGCCAAGGAAAAACATTTTATCTATTTCACACTTACTGGAATTTTTCTGTCTAATACATAAGCTGAAGGGATAGAGTATACGTTAGCAAACCTTTGTGCAAAAATTCCACGTCTTTGTTTTTGGGAAGTGTTGAGGGAGCAAAGTTTAAAAGATACATGAATAAAAGAAATATGTGTTTAGTGAACAACATTATCTAATGAAGAGAAAAATTTTCACCTGTTAATCTGGCTTTTGGGGAGGAGTGTGCGCAGGGAAAGGTTGTGTGGTCTGCTTGTTCTTACTTGCTTACAGGGTCAGTTTTGTGTCTGACAGAGTTGGCCACTGAAGGAACAGTGCAGGACTGAGGATCTAATTTAAATAAGAAGTTACGGCTTTAGGTTAAAACTTAAAAACACGGTACACAGTACAGTATGTTAATGAGATAGAAAAGATTATTTTCTTTTTAGAAAATAATCAAACTCTTCTAATAAATTTTAATTTATTGCACTTATTTTAGGAAAAATAAAATCCTTCATTAGAACTTTGTCATGTAACTTTTATAGAACTCACATTTATCTTCACAGGCTAAAATGCAGTACAGTGTAGTCTAAGTCCATGTATTTTTTTGGCCAAATTGAAAGCCCATCCTTTAGAATGCAGAAAGCAGTAACATCTGAGAAAGTAAAGAAAAGCCTGAAAAGTGAAGTCTTCCTGAAGAGCAGATTAAACAATAAAAAATGTGTTTGTGATATCTTTAAAGGAGAATTCCTGGTTAAATGGACAGAAAGGAATAGCTATTCCAGGATTTTACTGCATTTTACTTTGTTTAAAACAGCTTTTGCTTATTCTTTCAACAGAGAAGAAAAAGGTGGAAACCAAAAAAATCTAACTACTGATTTTGCCAACAAAATCTTATGTGGACATCTACATTTTTCTTATAAGATTTCTTATTTATCTGTTAAAGGGGATATTTTTGCATATTTACATGTTTTCACTTGTATTTTTTACTGGGCAGACTGGACGAGACCCAACAAAACTAGGCTTGAGAACATGAGTTTTTTATCTGTTGACCTTTAAGACTTAAACATTCTCATCTTCTGATCAATTTTTGTAGACACAATACTTGAAGAATAAATATTTGATTTAATAGGTTTAAAAGACTCTTTTGAACCATTCATAATTGTTGTCTTTTGTGGATTTCTGACCCATTGTGTTGATTATTTCGTTCCACATGCATGCTACATCTGCAGGCTCAATGTCTTTTTTAAGATACCACAGGAAAAATTTCCATTTGGGGTGTGCTTTATTGCGTTTTAATTTTTGCATCACAAGTTTCAAAAGTTATTGCTTTACATACTTTCTTCTAAAAACATTTGCTGTAAGGAAATGGAAGTCCGTAGTGAATAGCAAGTCTGATACCACAGTATGGGGATCCTGGTATACTTTATCTTATGTAGTTGCCAGCAGAGATTTTTTTTTCCCCCCTACAGAGGTGTCAGTAAGGTTTATAGAAAGAAAAACGGTTGTACTTTTATTAGCGATGGCTAAATAAATTTTTTTCAGTTTGGAGAATGTTTTTCTTTTTTCCTATAAAAGCAATAATGTTGAGTGCAAGGATGGTGT